TTTGGGGGTGGTTGGTCCTTGGCAGGCCCGTTTGAGTCCTTGTCTCCTCCCAATGGCCTTTGGCATTCTGTGACCCTCACAAGAGCTCTGAAAATGTGCAAGTCAGATTGGGACCTTCCTGCAAACCTAGGCTCCAGGAGTGTTGCAGGGGTGCTCCCCAGGGTCTGGCATTAAACACCACAAGGACATAAACTGAACCCCTAGACTAGGCGAAGGTGGAGGCACCCCATCCTCAGACCCAAGGGATTGTGGTTTTCATGGGGTGCCTGTCAGATGGACATGGAATGCAGGGCTGTTCAGAGGGCCGTGACTGGGTCTGAGCCTGGAAGGGACCAATTCAAGGAAGGTAAGCAGATTTCATTTCAAACCTGCGTCCCCCTAAATGGAGACGCCAGGCTAGCTGCTCCAGTAAGGGGCAGGGAAGTGTGACCATATAAAAATGAGCTGTCAATTACAATTCAAGACCGTCGTGATTGTCCGCACACTACAGTGAAGTGATTCCAATGATAGGCGGATCCCCTTTAAGGGTACGAAGGATATTCATTCATTCATTCACTCTTACAGCAGACGTACTGAACGTCAGGCTCCATTCTAGGTCCTAGATATACAGCAGTGAACAAAAGAGAGAAAGTCTCTGACCTCACTGTATTTATAATTAGTGGTAGAGATAGGTGGTAAACAAAGACACAGGACAGGGGCGCTGCTTTAGATAGAGTAGCCTGGGAAGGCCTTTGTACAGGAAGTGACATTTGAGGGAGTTTGGATATGTCTTGAACCAATTGTTAAGATCTTCTTTTCCTCTTCCTCCTCTTTCTCCTTCTTTTTGTAATTTGGTTTACCACCTTGAATTTTTCTAAAAAGCTTGTAAATGGGGGATTCTTTTTCTGAAAACTTTCATGGATTTTAGTAAAATTATTCCAAAGTCACAGCAGCATGTGATTACTTAGGGACGACAGGGGATCGGCATAAATGGCCATCTTTTCCCGGGAAGTATGGAGTCCACGAGCACCTGCCGTGACTTCGCGAGCTGTGGCTTTTGTGTCCTTGTCATCAGGCTCTACCTTCGTGGGTTTACAGTCTCCCTGGGGCCTGGAGATGCCCCCCTAATTGTCCAATGTCCATCTGCCAGGTTCCTGTCTACACTGTGGCCCTGAACCTGCTCTCCCATCAGTTCACCTGCCACTTGGAGCAGAAAACAATGACTTCATGCTGACAGTGGTCATTTCTGTCTGCAATCACGTGGGTGACAGAGCAGACCCAGGCAGCAGTTAAGGTGGGTGGCAGCTACTGTTTCTCTACTAAGACAACTTCTTGACTTGTCTAAACCTCAACAAAAGGGTGGCTGGGTTGAAGGGAGCCGAGGGTATAACCAGATGAGTGGTTGATTCATTCATTCCTTCAATGTGTATTTACAGAGCACCTACTATGTGCCTGGTCCTGGGGATATAGCCGTGGACAAAACAGGTGTGGTCTCTACCTTTGTAGATCTTATGACTGGTGGCCAGTATAGGGGAAGGGCCTGGGGGACTTGGGGTGGGGGACCTGAGGGAGATGGGGGCAGAAGTATCCAGAGGTGAGTTAAGGCCAAGTGCCTTCAGAGTCCAGAGGAAGGAGGACCCAGATCAGCCAACAGGTCTATAAGGCAGAGGCTGAATAAAATCTCAAGTGAATTTCAAGGGTCAGAAGCTGAAGTGGAAGGGCCTGAGAGCACGATGAGGAGGGCAGTGAGGGGAGAAGAAATGACCTGCCTGAGACTTGCTTTTGGTGGCCGTTGGCTGCTGGCACAAGTGGTCCCCTGCCCTCCAGCCTCGGGAGAGCCCCCATGCCAGGCGCCAAGCCGTCCAGCCCTGCCCTGCTTCACCACGTGCAGGCCAGGAACTTCAGGGTCCAGATTCTGGAACAAGACCAATGGGCTGAGTTCCTCCTGCTCTGAGCATGTCTCTGGTCTCCAGGTTAGGCGGGACGTGGAGGCACCCATGTGGAGGATGAGGCATTTCAGGCCACAGTGTGGGACAATGTCACTGCCACACTGCAGGGCGGGCATGGCCCTGAGCAGCTCTTCCAGCTGGCCAGGTCTGTGTCATCCGTGTTGGACCAGCAGTGCCAAGGGCCAAGGGCCAGGCTCCGGGCAGCCGCTGAGAGTGGACGCCAGCAGAAAGTGCTCCCGATGGACTCCTTTGTCCCTTTGCTGGGGCCCTGGGGTCTGTATGCAGCCATTTGGGGTGGGCAGGGGGGTCCATGGATCTGTGGAGAAGTCTTTGGTGCCTCCCGAGTTGTTGATGTCACCCCCTTCTTCTGGTCCTTTCAGTGAGTGACATAGGATGAAGGAAGCCTGCTTTCTCTGCTCAGCCTCACGGAGCCACAGGTTTCTAGGGCGGGAGGGAATTTAGAGGGTACCACTCCAGTCTCTTCCTACTAAAGAGGATGAAACCGAGGCCCAGAGGAGAAAAGTGACCCCATCTTGGTCACACGGTTAATGGTTTGATGTTGTCCCAGCTCTGTCATTTACCATCTCTATTGTCACAGGCCTGAATCTCTCTAAGCCTCAGTTTCCCCACCTGGAAAACAGGGACAGTAATAGTATTTTCCTCATAAGGTTGTGGTGAATGTTAAGAATTACATTCACTGTAGCTGTGGGTCAAATCATATGAAATTGCCAACATTCAACCAGTTTTAATCCACAAAAATGGCCATTCAATGTGCTACAACCTAGCATTAAAAACAACTCTAGCAAAAGGTATGATTACTTCCACTCCCAGTGTGTGCTCCCAGGCATGCTACCTGTGTGCACCACACACAGCATCACACCTGCTGGGCACGGAGGACAGAAGACAGGCTCCTCTGGTTCCTGAAGGGTTTGCCTGAAAGTCCTCAGCACGGTGTCGAGAATGTGAGCAGCTTTCCCGGGTCCACATTTCCAGTAGGTGGTGAAGACAGGAGCAAACCCAGGTTCGCTCTTCCCCTGCCCACCTCCAGCCTTCTCACCACAGCCCCTTCCTTCACCTAGTTCCCCCACCCCCACCCCCCACACACCCCACCTGGCTCTCATTCACCCCGAGCATAACTTACAGTAAACTTCCCTTTGGATGCCCTGGGGTCCTAAGCACACAGACTACACACAGCCTGACTCAAGGTCTTCTCGTGAAACACCAGAGTCCTGTCAGGAGACAGACATCAAGCTCTAACTGGGCAATGGAGAAGATTTTAAGAAGGGCTCTGTTGAGAAAACTGGGGGCAAGGTTTCGGAAACAAAAGAGAGAGAACACAGGACCCCAGGGGCTCACCCTGAAGTGACCAGCATCCTCAAGGGGCAGCTACGTGTGGAGGGGGCTCCCCGGTAGGAGCGGTGGCTTTGAAGGATGAGGCACACAACCCCGGCAGGGAGGGCACCGGGAGCAAAGCTTCAAGCTCTCTCTCCTCCTGCCCTCTCGTCTCCCGCTGAGTGAATCCATGGGCCAGAGGCTCAGCAGTCAGTGACATCTCCATGAAAGCAGCCTCCAGGATGGCGACCAAGGATGGGGAAGAGCTGCAGAGGCAAACATGAGATTATCTGTTACCTGACTTTCCTTCCAGAACGTTCTGACAGGAGTCCCATCATAGACAGGGCTATTCTTTCCTCCATCCAAGCCACGTCCTGAATGGAAGCCTGGCTGCACCCTGAGCTGTTGGCAGACATGCTCAAACTCTGCAGCTGCTGAACGACTGTTAGACGGTTAGAAGAGTGAGTTGTGAGTAGCAAGCAGGACGGGAGGGTAAGAGGGATTACTCACCTCTATCTGTGTTCTTCCAGATTGTTGCCATGAGCCACGTCTGGCCACGTACATTTAAATTAAAATGACTTTTAATGAAATAAAGTTAAAAATTCAGTCCTCTGGTTGCACTAGCCACATTTCAAGGGCTTAATATGTAGTCACATTTGGCAAGTGGCTATGTTACTGGACAAAACAAGGACAGAACATTTCTATAAACGCAGAAAGTTCGATGGGGTGGTGTTAAAATTATATTCTTAGGTTTTTCTCAGCCTCAGCCAAAGCCAGCCCCTCTCATTAGGGCTTTGCGGCTTAGAAAGCATGCTCCCCGGAAGCCCCAGGAGGTCTGGCTTAAGGCTGGAGTTGGGGGACGGCTGGAGGGATCCTTGTCCCCATTGCCCCAAAGGCACACAGGGACCCAAGTCTGCAACAAGACCTCCCATCCATACTGGGCCAACAAAGTAATCCAATTTCTGAATTTCATGCCATTTTAGTCACAGTGAGACCCTGAGACACCATTTGTTTTTAAATAATGCCAGATTTTACAGATTTTCTTTTTTTTTTGGCCGTGCCATGTGGCACATGGGATCTTAGTTCCCTGACCAGGGATCGAACTCAGGCCCTTGGCAGTGAGAGTGCAGAGTCCTAACCACTGGACTGCCAGGGAACTCCCCAGATACTACAGATTTGATTTCAAGATTTGGAGAAAGTTTGAGACATCCTGTATTAGTTTCCTCCTGCTGCTCTAACAAATAACCATTAACTTTATGACTTAAAACAACACATATTTATTATCTTACATTTCTGGAGGTCGGAAGTTTGAAATGAGTCTCACTGGGCTAAAACCAAAGTGGTGGGGGGGCTGTGAACTGTCTGGAGGCTCTAGAGGAGAATCCACCCATTGGCTTTTCCAGCTTCTAGAAGCTGCTCACATTTCCTGCTCCATTTTCAACACCAGCATCTTCAAATCCCGACCCCGACCCCTCTCCCCCTGTCCCTCTCTCCCCATCTCCATCTCCGTCTCCCTCTCCACCACCTCTGCCTCCATCATCACATCTTCTCTGACTCTGACCCTCCTACCTCCCTCTAGTAAAGACCCCTGTGATTACATCGGTCCCAACTGGTTAATACAGGATACTCTCCCCATTTCAGAATCCTTAACTTAATCAAATCTCCAAAGCGATTCTGCCAAAGTGCCTTTTGCCATGTGAGTAACATATCCATAGATTTCAGGGATTAGGATGTAGTTATCTTTGGGAGGCTATGATTCTGCCCACCACACATCCTAGGAGACAAGAAGAGGTCTACCGGCTTTGGAAAACCCCACATGAGCCTGGTCACTTTCTCAGACCCCAAATCTTTCTGACACAGCTTCATCAAGCCACTGGAATTACATTTCCTCTCCCCACCTTCCTATGTCTATGCCAAGGTCAGAGAGTGCATCTTCTGTCTGCGGGGTCACTGCCTGCGGTCAGCACCACCTTGGGGGACATGCAGAAGGTGCAAGAGCTGGCCGAGGCACTGAAAGAGGTGACCCGCCGCAGTGAGGAGCCCATGCCCTTGGCCCAGGTGAGTAGTTCCCACCCGCTGAGCCAAGCAATAGGACGTGCACCTCTGCGGTGGGTAGCTGACAACAAACCCCAACCCAGGTCACAGGTCCCTCAGTCACAGGGCCTCCAAGACTTCTGCCTTCTTGTTCCCAAGGGTCCCACATGGGTGATGCCAAGGGAGGGAAGGTGCCCCTCTCACAGCCCTATGTCTCCCTCTGCTTGTGATGGCCTGTGTGCTCACACACCTCACTCCCCCACCAGCCGGTGCGCACCTGAATCTAACTAATCATTGGGTGGTCAAGGGTGTGTCCAGATGCTGCTGCTGACCCGACCATGTCCCCCACTTGAGTGCACTGTGATGTCCAGCTGCCAGCTCTTGCCTTTCTTTGCCTGGGGGCCTTCTCTGACCTCCCCTCCAGAGTCCATTCTGCCTGCCCACATGGCAGGTTGGACATGTCAGGGGGTCAATGCAGTTCTCAGTGACTAATGGGCTGGGGAACAGATACCCCGGCTCCTCTGCTCCTCTTGGTGGAGACCTCCCAAGTAGGACTGAGCCCCAGGTAAGTGGCTTGATCACACCCCCTGGACTGGCTTCCTACCCTTCCCTATCTCACTTCCCCATTCTGCTTCCAGTGTTTCCTGGGATTATCTCCAAATAAATGACTGGTTGTCAAATTCTTGCCTTAGGGCCTGCTTCTTGGAGAACTCAAATTGAATCACCACGTTCCCAAAGCTGTGGCAGACAAATGTCAATAAAGAAGCCATAAGCAGTAAAGGGGAGAGCTGTCTTGGCTCTGCCCCACCCACTCTGTCAGGAGGTTGTCCCCCTCACATTCCTGGTCCTGGAGCCTGCTATGCTGACCTTTATTTCTGGGACCCTGATCACCCTAATATCATACTTCCCACTTTACACATCCATTTGCTCATGCATCCCTTCTATGCACATACATCTATACACGTACATATACATCCGTCTCTCCACCCTCCCACTCATTTATCCATGCATTAATTTTTTCATTCATTCAACAAGTGCTCCCCCGATGCCTAGTATGTGCCAGGTACTATGCAACTCATTGAAAATTCATCAGCAAATCACATAGACATGGCCTCTGCCTTCATGGCACTTTTAGACAACTGGGCCCGCCAGTTACTAAACCATTTCATAAATACATATATAATTACAAAATCGGAGTAAGTGCTATGTCCATCCATCCATCCATCCAGCCAGCCAGCCAGCCAGCCAGCCGGCTATCTCAAGTCAGTGAATGTTTACTGAATGCCTACTATGTGCTGGGCATTGTGCAAGGCACTCTGGGAAAGATCCAGAGATGCATGAGGTTAGTGTCCTGAAGGAACTTAGAACGTGATAGGGAAGGAACAACTGGCCTCAAGTCAGTGACACAGGCAGCTTGTGTGACGGGCCCAGCCCAGATTTTCCCTGGCTTGAGCCCCCACCTTGCTCCCCTCCACTGCAGTGCTGGTCCCTGGAATGGCCCAGGGGCTGGTCTAACCCAGGCAGGGGCGCATGCTGCTCTTCCTCCTCCTTGGGGTGAGCCCAGCGGGAGGCCAGCAGGGCTCTGCAGCATGCCAGTGAGGCCCCATTGGCAGTGAGTGCCGAGGCCCATGCTGAGGACCAGAGGCACCAGGAGGCCACCGGGGACCTGGTTCCAGGCTGTGTGCAGCGTGCTGGAAGCTTCCCTGAGGGACAGACCAGAAGAGCCTGCAGGGGCCAATGGCAGCCAGGTAGGTGTCCCAGCCCAGACACAGACATCACGCTTACCGCGTGCCCAGCTCATACCAGCACTTCTAGGTGGATCTTTCTCCACATCTTGCAGATGAGGAAACTAAGGCACTGAGGTTAAAGTCCTTTCTAGGAGCTGAAAGAAAGGCTCCAGAGACTAGAGCTTCTGGGAGGCAGTGTGGTACAGCAGGCAAAGCGCAGCCTTCAAAAGAGGTGGCCTGAGTTTGAACCCTGACCTTGTCACTCACAAGCTTTGTGACTTGGGCCAGTGACACAACTTCCTGCAGCCTCATCTCCTCATCTGTAGTATGCGGACTAGCTCTGCCTCATCCTGGAGAGGCCACCCGTTGGAGAGATCGTAGGTTCACCCTTGCAAGTTTGAATCCACCTCCTGCTTCACTTAGCCAAGGATACAGAACATCTTTAGAAGAGAGGCAGCCCCCAGAGTAAGAAGAGCTGCAGCACAGCCTCATGTGGCCGCAGCACCCAGGACGTCATCATGACGGAGCCACAGAACCCATTACCTGCTGCTCCACAGCCCTTTACCACGCAGGGCCATCACTGCATTCAAGAAGGACTCACACACACATTCTCGCACACGGCCACACAAACACACTCAAACACATATCCACACACTCACACACACCCACAAACACTAACACTCAGACACACATTCAATCACACACACTCACACATTCACGCACACTTCTAGGCACTCATTTATGCTCACATACATTGGGAAGCACAGACTCCGGCACACACTCACACAGATGCACACTTACACTCCTATCTTCACACAGGGCCACACAGTCACACAAACACACAGACTCTCATATATGGTTGCAGTCACACACAAAACCACATACACACACTCATTCATGCTCAGATACTTATACTCCCACACCCTCAAACCACATTCACTCATTCATACACTTACACTCACACACACACACTCACTTACTCACACCCAGTCCCCCTCAACACACACGTAACACTCACATTCACGCACGTACGGTCGCACACCCATCAGACATAACGCATGCATGCACGCGCAGCCTGCGCACTGATAGGAACTCTGCACAGACGTCCAGCCCTCCTGCTCCCCATGCCTGCCTTGGCTTCAGCGACGCCACATCTTCACCCAAGGGCTTGAGTTGCATGGGGACTGGAGTCTGAGCCAGGGTGACCCCGTGCAATGGCTCTGCCTGTGACTTTCCATTTCCCCACGAATAAGACCTGGGCTGTGGGCAGATGTCAGGGTCCAATGGAGCAGCACGGACAGGCGCACAGTGAGCCCTGCCGTGATCCCGGCGCTTCCCCTTATCAGTGCGTGGCCACCACAAGTCATCACTCTCTCTGTGCCTCTGTCTCCCCATCTGCCAAGCAGGGGAGGTGAAGCACCTGCTGGCAGAGCCTGGAATCTTCTAAGTGCTCACTCTTGGCTCCCTACAGCGCCTGGTGCCCAGGAAAGGGCCTTCCATCATGGTCTCTGCCTTGCTCCTCCGCCGGTCCCTGCCAAAGGGCACACTAGCCTGGTGGCAGTAACCAGAGGTGGTAATACGGACACCGGTCCACAGCAGTGTCCCCTGCTTCCTTTTCCAGACAGCTGTAGTGCCCCAGCTGCTGGGAGCTGTGGGGCACATGCAGGCCACCGTCCTGCCGGGGGGTACTGCCCGGGGGCCTTCCAGCCACACTGGCCGCCCCCTCCATCTCCGTGTACACAAACAGGTAACCGGCTACACTGTGGTATCCCCTGACCTGGCTCATGCCACACACACATCCCAAGACCCTGTGACAGACAGAGCCCAGGAGACCTGCCTGGCAGTGGGGGAAGTGATGGGACGTAGAGTGGAAAGGGCTTTTCACCAAGAGAAGGTCCCCGTGTTGGGTGTTTGTGCAGCACAGGAAGGGATGTGGTGAGCGCCACGCCAGTGTCAGAGCCACACATGTGTCCCGAGAGACGGGTCATGTTGGTCTGTGCAGGTGAGGGGGCAGAACGAAGGGGACTAGCCCACTTTTAACCTCACCCAGAGTGTGCCTGGCAAGCCTGCTGCTCCGTGGACCTGTGGGGATTCCGGACGCACTTGCCTTGGGAGTTTCTCCGTAGAGGTCCTGCCTACCTCTCACTGACCTCCTCCAGTACCTGGGGATGCCCTCCCCCTTCCATCCCTCCCCCTGACAGTCGTGGGCTGGACGACGCTGCAGGCACTGCTGAGACCCCTGGCTCCGAGCACCCACCCTTGGCTCCTCCTGCCGGGGGTGCTCTCCTGGATCCCAGGGGCAGTTTCCCAGAGCAGCATCCGGATCAGCACTAGGGTCTGAAACCAGATCCCCAGCCTACTCGGATGGGATACGGTCAAAGGCCGGTAAAGATGGCTTTATGGGAGCCCATGACATCAGAGGTCAAGTAGGTAGGGGAAATAAGTCTGGAGAAATGTCTACAGCCAAGCTCACTTATTCATTCCACAAAATACGTATTGACCACCATCATGAGGCAGGCGCTGCTCTAGGCACTGGGGTGCCACAGTAGGCAAAGCTGGCCATAGCCCTGTCCTCAGGGAGCCGCCAGCCCAGAGTGGAGACATTGGCTGCCTTTTATGCTGCTCCTACTGATGTAAATATGCAGAACTATCTACAGGGATCACAAAAGAGCCGCCCACTCTGGTGCTAAAGCAGGGGTCCCTGTAGAGCGAGAGGTGGGTAGACCTTCCTCTGACTCTGACCTTCTCCCCTCTCTCCCGGCACCTCTGTTCTCATCTTGTGGAAAGAATACAGCCCCGGAGTTAGCGAGGCTCCCCTGTGCACGTTGCTGCTGCCAGCTCTGCGACCTTCACCCTGCCCGCTGCCCCCTCCCTTGGCTCCATGGAGGACGGTAGGGTACCTGTGGACATAAGGGTAACAACGGAAGGAATCTCCTTGGGAACAGCCCTTTATAGTTTGCAAAGCACCTGCACATATATTTGCTCATTTATGTTGATAACAACCCTGTCAATTATGGAATTATTATGCCCATTTTACAGGTGAGGTTCAGTGACTTGCCTGAGGCCACAAGCAAAGTGGCAGAGCTGGGGTTCAGACCCAGGCCTCTGACTCCCCAGTCCGTCCTCTTTCTACTGTGTTGTGGAATTTCTCCAGCAGCCCTGGTTTAATTAGTCATTGGAAATTAAGCTCTTCAGACTTTGTTCCATAGCTAGGAAACAGTAAACTCAGGGCTCTTTCCATTCCCAAATTAGGGCACATCTGACTCTCTGCTCCTTGAGCCTCAGAGAAAGCAGACAAACTTCTTTCTCTTAGAGACTTGCTGGCTTTGCAGGAAGAAAGGCTCAGACTGTTTATAGCCCAGTAACTGCTCGGCTGTAACAAGTCCGATTGGGTCTCTAGGCCCAGCTTTCTGAAGCCACAATCCTGAAGGGAAGACACATACCAGGACAGACAGCAGCAGCTAAAGGCGGGGGGCCCTCCCAGTCACCCCACAGGGCAAGAGCCACTTGTCCATCCCATCTTAGGAAACCTCATCCTTCACACAGGGAACTAGTCACCTTCCGGCCTTTGGGGCCCTTGGCTGACACTCTTTGTTCCTGGTTTCAGATGAAGAGTTTCCCAAAGAACCCATTCCCAGCGCCAAGTCACTTCGATGTCAGCGGAACTGTTGGTGGCCTCTCTCTGACCAGCCCTAGTGGACAGCTCATCCCTGTGAAGAATCTGTCGGAGGATATCGAGGTAGACTTGGGGTGCTCTCAGAAGTCAGGAGGTGCTTCTGTCTTCTTTTTCAACTTGGTTGGGATCAAAAGTTGGTCGGTTATGGGGAAAAAAAAAAGGAAGATTAAAGAAGAGAATCATTAAAAATGATCTTTACCCTCCCTTAACCATTGTATTTTAACGTAAAACTATAAATGTACATCATCATCAATCTTAAGGTGTACAACTGAAAGTTTCTTTAAATCTGTTGATTGGAATTTTAATCATCTTCACTACATAAATCATCCCCTGAACATAGTTAGATTTTCTTTAAAGTGAATAAAAAATGTAGGCACACTGGTACAATACGAGTTCAGATTCTTTTGAGGTTTTAATGACTTTTTTTCTAATCGTCTACAGTTTTCTCATCAGTGACTAATTCAATAACAATTTTCCCCACTCATCTTTATTGAGTCTTCTCAAAGCCTTCAACTTAAGTTTTTATGCAAATAGTTCTTTTACACTCCTACTTTGTAAACTTATCACTCTATGAGAGCTATCATCAAAACAGACCCTTACAATCACAAGTACAATGGACGTTAGCAGGTGTGGGATCAGACACAACTGTCTATTGTTGAGCATACAGCCTGACAGGTAGGAGGGGCTGCCAGGATTACTAGAGAGGAGATGTCGTAGGTTGGGTTCCCTGGAAGCTGGCACTGAGAAGGTGTTTGTGGTGCAAGATGCTTGCTAGAGATCAATGCTTGTGGCGAGTGAAGAAAGAAAACAGGATTGGACAGAAGTCAGACTACAATCCGGACTCCACAAAGGCTCAGTCAACCCAGAGGGGGCTCTGCAGCAAGTAGCAGCCACCAGGGCTCTAGCAATTGTGTTTGCTATCTTCTGTATGTTATGATGTTTTGATATCTTAAAAATCTTGCTGGCGGGGAGAGACTGCCCCTCCCGGGGCCAGCCAGTTCTCAGAGAGAGCAAGGGCTCTGCCAGGGCACTTCTTTCATGTGAAAGAACACATGTTGGTGTGAACACCAACCAGTCCTGAGTCTATACCCCAACCACCCCCTTTATCTCACTCACTCACCAGGCCGATATTCAAGCTCTGCCCCAAATCATCCCAGGGCCAGGTACCAACTAGAGACCAGCCCTATAGCCAAAGTTTGCTGGAATTATTCAGACTGGACAATCCTAAGCTGTTTTCTATGCCCTGTCTTGCCTTTCCTGTGGAAACCCCAATAAAGCTGTGGACTAGCCTTTCCCCCTTGCCTGCTCCTGCATCCTGACCGAGTGCTTCCCTTGTGGCCCTGTGTGGCATGGCAGGTCCTCCACTCCTAGGAAATATAAGTAATAAATTCTTCAGGGCAGACCCTGAAGGAGCTGAGAGCTGGATCCTGTCTGCTGACCATACTCCCTGTGACTGGGTAGGAGGTCCTTCCTAGAAGGGAGAGCTGGGTGGCATATTCCTGTGTCTACCGTAGAGGGCCACCAGGAGCAAATAAAAAGTGCATGGTGGGCATTAATCAGTCTGTTTTTAAAAGGGGATGGAGGGCATCAGTTAATCTGGAGAGCTGATTAAATGGAGAGTGGTTGTAAGAAATTCTAATGTAAGAGTAAAAGCAGAGGAATAGCAGCAACTAACTGTTGAGTGCTATTGTGGATCTGGCACTTGACTCAGTATTTTGTATATGATAACATTTTGAATAATCTCCGTGAGTCTATGTATTCTACTGATGACAAGGAACTGAGGCTCAGGAATTCCCTGGCGGTCCAGTGGTTAGGACTCCATGTTTTCACTGCAGAGGGCTTGGGTTCGATCCCTGGTCGGGGAACTAAGATCCCATAAGTCGTGCAGTGAGGCCAAAAAAAAAAAAAAAAAAAAAAAAAAAAAAAAAAAAAAAAAAAAAAGGA